ATTAAAATTTTTCTCCATTATAACTGATTCCATAAGAATTGTTTCCTTTATTTTTTTATTTTTGACAAAAATCATGGATTTTCAGACACTAATCTCTAGCTACTACAACCATCCACGACATAAACTTTGAACCTATAATGGAATCATAATACATTTTTAAAAATTAAAAAAAAATCATATAAAATCTATTTATACTTTTTTAATTTTTCGTATTTCTTCGCTATCTTCTTCAGCAATACTACGATGTCGTAGTAAATGATGTTGACGACGATAACGTGATAACTATGTAAAACAAAACTAGATATTATAATAGATATATTAAAAAAATGTATATAATAAATTTACTTCTTTTCTTAATTCTCTAACTTCACCGGATAATTCTTCGACTTGTTGCATATATTGATATTTTGACTTTGTCTCTGTTTCATATACTTGTGATAAATGTAAATATTTCGTTTCAATTTCATCTTTTAAACTCACATGTCGATTATAGCTAAAATAAGAGTTAAACATTGTCTATTTTCTTTCAAGAAAATTATCGACATATTTTAACAATTATACCTGCAAGTTTGAATAGCATCGATCCACGCTTGACGTTCCATATCGGATTCAGCAGCAAGTTCAATTGAATTACGACCATCACGAGTGTATGATATAGAAAAGCAGTTCTAAAGTGTATAAAAATTATTATTGTTTATTTTTTTATTGTTTCACACATATATTCATTAAGATTTATAGAGTAAATCGAATTTTTTAATGTATTTTCGATCCAATTTTCTCGAATTCAGTCAGATTCAATGCTCTTTAATGCTTTCTATGTTATAGTTTACGTGAAAAAAATTTCGTTCTAGTTTTTATTTTCTTATTTAATTAAAAAATATTTTGATCGTCTTGCTACCATTGTTTGCGTTCTTATTATAAACAGTACGCAGTACAGAACAGTAGAATGATGGGTTATCAGAGTTTTATTAAAACATTTTTCATTAAAAGAAAGTTCATTAAAATTTTAAATGAAATTCTTGTACTATTAGAAACTCTAGGTCATAGCCATTTTGCACAAAACATTTTAACGAAAGTAGCGGGGCTTTCATTAAAAATATTTTTAATAAAAGTTCCGGTACTTCCATTATAAAAAAACACATTTTAATGAAAGTATTTTTAATGAACATCCTCAATCCAGACTGATGACTCACTCTTATAACTATTTTATCATATGTTTTTATCACCCTCTAGATCTTAAAACTCGCGATTATGAGTTTGCGAATTTTAACACTCAGCTTCATTGGCTCAGATGCGAACCGAGTTTTTTGTTTTGTGAATCTTTTTTTCCGAACGGATCTAGAAAGCTTTCTTTCTCAATAAGAACATATCATTTTTGTGTTTCTTGTGAAACAATATGCCCAAATTATAATAAAATAGTAACAATGTTCATTCTTACTAGAAAGCATCCAAGAGCTTCATAAAATATACTTAACAAACTTTTACAAGACATAGCTCGAAGGGTAAAAGAGCGCTTCTACAGAAATTCACCGTATCCTCAATAAGAACCATTATTTTTTGCTTGACATCATTTAGAAGAAAATAGTGGAATATCATATCGTAGTTATGATGATTTATCGATTATTTGAATTACCAACAATCGATAATACTCACCAATTTTTCTCCATCTTTATTATTTTTAGGTGCAACACGTGCCGAATAACAAGTTTCCAATAGATAAAGACCTTGTGGTTTTGTTGCATTTACATTTTCATAATAGAATAATAAATTTTGATATAATATAAACCATTTTAATTGCCATTTGGCACTACTCGATGAACTACTATCTTGATTACTACCACAACGACGATACAAATACCCACATTCACGATTTTCTAATCGAGCTTTTATTGCTAAATTTAAAATATGATCATCATTAATTTTAAAGGATGTACGTTGCATTATTAATGGCCAATTTTTTAATGGTGACCAATAATCGGATGATAAAAATCTTGAACGTAAACTTGATGATGATGTAGTGGTTGTTGTGTGTGTATTTGTAACATTACTTTGATTCGAATGATATAATGATGATTGCATAGATGATGACATTAAAAACCACATTCAGATGTATTAAGAAGAATAAACATTATATGAATAATAAAAAGAATTTTTATATGATTATTGGTAATAATTCTGTAAAAAAAAAAAGAAGAAAAGATAATTGCCTGCTTTCTAATTGTCTGCTATTTCATCACAGGAATTCTTTTTCAATAGATAAGAGTAACTGACAGTATAAGTGACTAGAAAAAAAATGATACAATAATAGTGAAAATAAAACTAGAAACTAGTGTAATATTTTAAATCTTTAACAGTTTAATCACAAAAGTTTTCAAGCATTAACAAATGTTATAAAAAGATAAAGAAGTGTCAATAATACAGCAGAGAAGGAGGGAAGAGATAGAGAACAAGAGAGTCTTATCCATTAGTTAAATTGTTTTAAAATATGAAACCATGAGTTTTTATATGTAGAACGAGAGGTAAAAGAAAAAGAAAAATTGTCCCCTCCTCTCACCTCCCTCCTAAGTAAAATTTATGCAGTAACAAGGTATTGCAGTCTATTTATTTATGCTCAATGGCACAAAGATAATAATATTTATGAAAAAATATAAATTGAACGATCTCTTTTTTCTTTCTCTCTGAAGTTTGAAGAAGATGAAAAAAGAGAATTCTTTTCTCTTTTTCTTTTCTTTTTAATATATCTAATACTATTTGTGATCATATTATGATTATCATCATCATCATTACACAAGTTGATTTTTGACTCTATTGATAAAAATAATTTTATAATATGTTTTATTTTCTTTGTTGTTCAACATCAACACTATCATAAGACTATATCACAATTATAAAAACAAGAGAGAAAAAATTTTGATAAATCCTATTATACTATGATTTTGATAAAATAATAAGTTTGTCATCCGAAGTTAGTCTATCTTTGACCGATATTTTCTTATTCAAATTCTCACGGCAATAATAATTTTCTGTTGTTTTAACGTACAGTTATACTTTTTATTACATAGTTTTCCGTCACATTAAACTTATCTCAGTTTTTTTAAACGTACCATAATTGATTAAAGATTTCTAAAGTTTACGCTTCATACCTAATTTAGCAAAAACAAAGTATAACACTCGTTTTTATTAGTTTATTTTCTTAAATATCTTCAAGCAATAACGACTACTACAACCTAAAAGGGTGTAAAGAAGTGCAACCATTTTGAAACCATTTTAGGTTTCGTACTTTGACTACGAAACATTTATGTTCGCTCAAAACCATAAACGGTTTCATAGTCGAAGTACAAATAAAAGAGATTCATACGAAATCTAAAATTGTTTCGAAATGTTTGCAGTTGTCTACATCCTTTTAAGTTTCGTAATAAATAAACCCATGTTTTTTTAGAGAGTACTAGACCTCTCAGTTTTTATATAAATGTAAGAGTAACAGCAGCTGTTTTGAAATGAATTTTGAAATGAATTTCAAAAGAGCTGCTGTTACTCTTACATTTATATTGAAATTATTATACCTAAACAAGTTAAATATCTCTTAGTTTTTCTACTAATAAAAACGTCATATCTTAGTAAGAGTCTATGACGGAAGTGTTAAATTGTTAAATATAAATGACCTTCCCGTTTTCAGAAGTTTCGATGTGGCATAGTTTTCTAGGTCATGTCATGGCACATCTCATGGCACATCTCACAAGAAAAGATGAGCAAAGAAGCAGAAGAAAAAAAGTCCTGAACGACTGCATAATGTCTTTCGACATAATTATTCAAGAACTAAATGTTCAAGTGAGTTCAATCATCTCTCAAAAGAGACATACTCAAGTCAAATCAGGAAATATAATTTATTTATCATCAACATCAATCAAGCAAATGACTGTGTGCGTGTTTAATAAAAAAATTAACCTAAAACTTTTTTTTTGTTATGTTAAGGGATTTTCCGGTTTTTTTAAGTAAAATGTTTTGTTTTTTCCTTCAATTTTTGTTCGAAATTTTATAACTAACTCAACAGGGAGTTACACAAATTAATAATCTTGATTATTATCTAGTAATACAATCATTTATTATTATTATTATTATTATTATTTCTTATTCTTCTTCTCTTCATGTTAATTTTTTTCTACGTAGATAATTGTATGTCCTGATAGAAAACCTACTATTAATATGGAAAAATGATGTTAAAAAGAAAAATGTGCTCATTTTTCAACAATATAAAACAGAATGCGAGGAAAAAGGAAAGACAGGTTCAAAATAGCGTAGTTGTTTTATTAAATAAATAAATAAATTTACATTTATACTAAAGCGTTAAGCAATGGGTCAAGTTGCGTATTCAAATAAAATATTTGAACAGTTTAAATGTTTTTCTAATTACTCTTACCATCATCTCTCTCTCTCTTTCTCTATTTCTCGTTCCGTTAATGCGTTAAAAAAATGATAGAAGAAGTCAAATTATGAAATTATAAAAGACAATATAGAAAATGTATCTCGGTGCTTAGACTTCTATGCGTGTTAATATTTAATTGTAAATACTGAATGACTACAAGCTTTTATCACCTAAACATCTTCTAACCGATATTGTTTTACTAAAAAGTAATCAAAAAAGATCACAGTCAGTATTTCATGACACTTTTATTTAGACGTGTCATATGTAACATACTTTTTTTACTAAAAGCACGGATGTTTTGAGGGTGTAATAAGTTGAAAAATGAATATATCGAACAGTTTAACACGTTTTAATTATACCAAAGAAAATCTAAAAAAAGTATTCTAGTATATTTTCATGCAACTTGTTCAAAAGCATGACAAATAAAAAGAGGCAGTAACACATATTTTTCTCTTTCACTTAATAGTAAAATTTGTAAAAAAAAGAATACTTATTACACTGTCTCTATTACTCCTTGAATAAAATGTATTAAATTTTGGAAATTCTGTATATAACAATGGTAAAGAGATAATAGAAATAGTTTAAATTAGTTTTCTCTATCTAATTGAATGTATACTTGAAAAATGAATTGAATAAAACTCATACTACTTATATATCCATATGAAAACTAGTTAAAAAGAAATATACAAACATCTAATTCTACATTGCCATAGAATTTTTTTTATGTTACTACACATATTTTTTACTTATAACAACAAGTATGATAGAATAAATGAATTTTTCTAATTACTTCGTATCATTTAAAGTTTCTTTTAGTTTTTTGTTCAATTTGCTGAGCAAGTTTCTTCAAAAACAAAAAATAACTTATATTAAGTGATTTATCACAATTTACATAAGAAAACATAGTCTAAAGTATATCGAATATATGTTCGAACATTTAAAAAAAAAAAAACTTGAATTCATGATAAAATATTTAAGAAAATTCCCCATTTTGGATCTTTTTACTTACATTCGTATAACTTTTATATTTATGATGTATTCTTTCATGTAATGTATTTTGTCTAAATCTGGTTTTATGATCCACAAAGCAGCTTTAGTGAAATCCATGAAAAAATAATGAAAATTCAATATCTATATTCAGTGTATTCGATGAAAGAAAGTTATTCATGCAGCTAACACATCATTTCTCTTTGAAATAAGGAAGCGGAATCCAAAGTTTTGATTTTAAATGAGTTATGGGAATTTGATGTAGTAGCTAGAGATTAGTGTCTGAAAATCCATGATTTTTGTCAAAAATAAAAAAATAAAGGAAACAATTCTTATGGAATCAGTTATAATGGAGAAAAATTTTAATTATAGTTAGAAGATTTTTCCATATCTTAAGCAAGCGATAAAAATAAAACTGAAAAACAAATCCGATGTTTTTAGTTAGTCGAAGTTGTCTATTTCTTAGTATTATTCATATAGCATTCATTTTTACATTTTGTAATGAACCGCTCAATACAAAATTGTTGTTTTTTTTCCAGAGAGTTGAATAGTAAATTTAATAGCTCAATAGTGAAACTATCCTTTATTCAAATGCAGTCATCCTAGTTGAAATTCTTTTGATCGGTATGAAGAGTTTTAATTTAAAACCGAGAGAAAGAAAGTTGTATCCAGACATGTGCATCGGTGCGGCGCTGCCGAGGGCGAAAAATTTTCGGGTAATCATACTACCATCGCGCAGAAAAAGTTTTTTCCACGCCGTTGCCGCCAACTGAAATAATCGGCGTTTGACAATCGAATAGAAAAAACGCCTCGTGTCTTGTAATACCGCCATATTTATCTTTTTCGCTGTTTACTCAATCGCACGGTAGCCTTAAGCTAGTCTTAATCATTAGTTCCTTGTGAGGTAAGACAGATGGCTGGACAGCTAATAATAAGAATTCTGGCTAATAAAAAGATTGTATGTCAAATAAACGAAAAATATCTATTCTTTTTATTTATTAAATCCTTTTCTTGTTTTGCTTTTTCAAAACAAAAACAATACATGCATATAAAGTACACTCGCCAAAAAAGCGATAAAAAAAGTTTATAAATTTCTAAGGAGAAGCGAAGATGTTTATCATTCACCAAATGGCATATTACGTCACATTTACAAAACAATGAAACGTGTCTTACAATTCTTTGGTTTGTATCATTTACATATAATTATGCTCTGACTATAAGACACCCACTTACTTCCTGTGTCTATATCTGAGACAGCGAGAGTTAATCATAATGAACTTGATGAAATAACAACGTATTGAAGGCATTTTTGAAATTGCAAATGCAAAAACAAAAATTAATTTTTTTCTTCTATATCAACATACTGATGTTAATAACTTTTTTGAAGGCTAACAAAAAAGGAAGAAGAAATAATGGATTTTTTTTGAGGAATATAGACTAACAACGACAAAAGAAAGATATTTGAAACTGGTGAATAATAGAAAAACCAAAAGGAAGGGATTCATCGAGACCATTGTGTTTATGTGTATATCAGATAATAACAGTTGAATAATCTTCTTTTAAAAGATGGAAATATAAAAATTTTGGAAAACAGATAACGTACAAGAGAGATAATTAAATCTTTAATGTTGAAGATGGATGACGTACGATTTCCATTATGTTCTCTAACTGTAAAAAATATTTTTAATTATAGTTATATTCTTTAGCTAAAATTTAATAAACAAAAAGAGAATATCTCTAAGTGTATTTATATCCGAGAATATAATGAAATATATTATTTGTTGTACACTCGAGCATGCTGATTACAAATAGAGCTATAAAGTACTTGCTGATTGTGAAATTATAACATTCTTACCGAAGAATCTTGTGTTTAATCGATCGAAGTTTATGAGTAGATATGCACCAACATAGAATTATCTCCCCTAATCCAACAGCGTTAAACATGAACCGGAGGCGAATCTGACTAATTAAAATATTCATAACTAAAATAGGACATTCTTTTTCTGTTCAATAGTAGAGGCTTAAAATAACCTACATAGTCATGTGTCATTTTATAGAACTTCTTATGGCTACTTCTTAATTGAGACCACTATTTTTTGCTCTCACATTTACTTTGCTTCCCGCCCTCTGAGATTTGTTTCATGTCAATTAAGTCTTCCAAAATGAGATCACTTTTTTAATCACATTTTCTCAGAAGACTCGCTTCTCCATAATTTTAAAGAAGAAAAAATGTGATTGAAATTTTCGAATTCATAACAATTTCTATCTGAGATGTTTCTCTATACAAAACTATCTTTTTTTGTAGATTTAGATAACATTGCTCTCAAAAAATATGATCAATTAATTCTTTACTGATAAAAACAAAAATGAAACGTCATAATTCTACAAACAACCATCTAGTGGTGATAGTTCACATGATAATATGAGGAAAACATGATTGCATGTTTACAAAAACAATATTTGAGATTCCCATGAGATTTAATCAATTATTTTTCTTTTTTTTGACAATATAGTTGATACAACGAGTGATAGAAGTCAACCAGTAAAAAAGAATTGCATACATAATTTCTATTTATCGTTATCCAATTTAGTTAGCTACAATTGACTGATGTTAACTCTTATTAAAAGTACACACAATATAGATCCTTCTATCTGAATATTTTATGTATATGTGTGTGTTTGCATGTTTATGTGAAAGATAATTAGAATATCAACAAAAAATTTTACATGCGTAAGTATTAATAAACAAATCATTTTAAATAAAACGTAAATAACAAACAACAAACATTATGTATATAAAACACAGATTTTTCAATATACAACAAAAAACGTTTTTTTGCTTCCATACTGAAAACAAACAAATAAACAAATGAAAATCATTTATCATATCAAGCATTCACTGAAAAAAGTAAGATCATTTGTACATCTGACGTATGTTGTAAAAAAAAGAAAGAAAAAAAACGAAAATTATGTATGTGTAGATCTAACGATGTATTCCCATTAAGATTATAAACTCATTTTTAGAATATAAAAAATTATCTGTGTGTTATAAGGAGAAACGGTATGAGATTTAAAAAAAAACGAAATGTTTGTTAAAATTGACAAATATCTGACAAAAAAACCTAAATATATTATGGAAGACATTATTGAAAAGAAAAAGACAGATCTATACGTATTATAAATGTACTTCATTTACATTACGAACATCACGACTTAATTCTTTCATTAATTCTTGTGTTTTACGTCGATTTCGTCGAGCAGCATCAGCACGTAAATAGGGTGTCTTTTTCAAATCTAAATAAAAACGAAAACAATAAAAAGAAAAGTATTTATTTGAATTCTATTTAATTTTTACCATCTAATAATGATTCGATTGTTCCTTCTTTGACAGCATCACGTTTTATTAATTTTTGATCTTTAAATACTTCTTTTCGAGATTTTAATTCATTTAATAAATCTTCCTAGAAACAAAAATTAAAAAAGAAATTGTTAATATCAAACTCTTATTAATAATACATTTTTCCTTTAATAGCAAAAACAATAAGCAAGAAAAACAAAAAGCACATGTTTGACCACCATTATTAAGAGCAGTAAAAAGCAATTTATTAGCTATCTGTCTAATATTCATATTCGTACCAATAGTAGTTTAAAAAAAATGGATAGTTAGAGCCTTTTGACTTTTTTTTCTACATTTGCATACCAATTATGCGAGATCATTTCGAAATATAATAAATAAACTGATAAGTTTGACGAAATAAAATGTTTAGTTTAGATAACTTTTCTTTTATTTTACTGCAAACAATCGTTCGAAATAAAAATATCAACCTGTGTTATATATTGTTTTACTTGAACTACTAGTTTATTACAGAATTGTATCTTAGGATCCTGTCGTTAAAAATCAATCACTACTATACCATTGTTCGCTCAAATTTTAGCAAAGACTAACATCGCTTAGAACAACAGAATACATGGATAGTTTCTATTTTTTAAACACAATATGTTAAGAAACAAAAGGCAAATAAATTAAAACAGCAACTCAATAGATGGAAAGCAATAAGTTTTACCTGTAGCATAGAACCGTTTTCCAACTGTACAAAAGATAAATGATTAAAAAAAAAGGAAGAAATACTAAATGATTGTCTTACTTGTGAACGTTTATTCAATGTTCGTTTTGTATTTATTGGACGTTCGAGAGTGGCGGCTGCTTCACGCGCTAAACGATTACGTTCCTCATTATCAATTCGTGCTTGCTATAAAAAAATGAGATTATTCAAAATAAGTGTAGAAATTTATGATTGATGTATCGTACTTGAAATGCACGTTGAAATTTGACAAATGCAGAAAAGAAATTTGATGGTGTTTGACTACGGGGTGTTTCACCTAAAATAAACGTATATAAAAGACAATTCATTTTTAGAACTTCAATTACAAAATTACCAAAATATTCGACACATTGTAAAAATGTTTCTTGTGCATATTTTGCATCTTTCGTTAGACGATCAACTTTCTCTTGTGTTAAAGATAAAAAATCTTCCAATGAACGAGTTTCAACATTCTAAAACAAATATATATATATAGAAATAGTATTATTGCGAAGATTGTGTATACAATATGAGACGTTCTGATGATTTTTGTACCGTTTAACCCTAATTCATAGCGTCGTCTGGTTCTCTGCTCAGGCTGAACGAAACTACTTAACACTTTGAGAAAACACTTGTCTATATATGGCGTTAAGATCTTTCTTTTATCTTTAACCGCTGGGGCGCTGTGAGTAAAACACTTTCTTTTTTTGTTCTTTTCTTGCTTGTTTTCTTACATTATTGGTTCTCGCATGTTCTTCTTTATAAGTCAAATCTTTTAACCTCGTAGAATGACAAAATTACAGATTTTGTTGCGTTTTGTATAGTGTTTTCTTTGCTCTATCGATTTACGGTGTCGATTTTGTGTTTCTTTCCGTTTTTAAAACATAGTAAAAGTCAAATCCGTTGTCCCACCCATTTTTGCTAAATTACGCAAAAAGTAAGTCTTATAGCTGGTCTTTTTTCACATTATTTTCTGCAGATTTAACGTCAAAATTGGCTGACAAAAATAGCAAATCGCTAGCTCTTTTGTCTTTTCACAAAATGCGATTTACTGTTACCTAGTAGTGTTTGAACAGTGTTCGAAACCCGGATATTTCTAAAAGACGCGAACAGCCACGAACACCCCTAAATTAAAATCTGAGCTAGCCAATCGATACAGCTCGTCGAGCTGAGTATAGCAACGCCTAAAGAACACCCAAAAAAGTTCTTATAGTTTCGTTTTTTAAGTATACATTTTCAATACCGAATTCATCTCCAGGTTGTTCTGAGCTTACTGGTATGCTGGGTGAGGATGAGAGTGAGATACTGGTAGGCTCAGAGCAATCTGGAGATGAATTTGGCACACTTTTTTGGGTGTTCTTACCCTTTCTTCTGGATGTCAGTGGTTGTTCGCGTCTTTTAGAAATACCCTCGAAACCCTATATTTGATTGAATTTGCGGCCTTGGTTGTCTATTATTGACTAAAGAGCGAGAAAAGATTTTCTCGAAACCTGTATAACTGAAATTTTGAAAACAAGCACTTGGTAGCTTGCAAACATAGATTTTCGTAGGCTATCAGGTATCCTCTATCAGCCTATGACATTAAAATAAGTTTCTGTTCACGTTCGCTCTGGACCAAATTTTAAATAAAATCGGTACAAAAAACACCAGAACCCCTCATATATATATATCATTTTGTAACTTACTTTCATTGTTTGACGTATGGTCAATTCTTTTTTAGTCAATTCTAGACCACGCGTTAAATCCTGCACATCAATTTGAATATTTTCTAATGAAACTAGAAACAAACAAAAAAAAGATATACAAAATAAAGATGTTTATTTGAATGAATTCTGATAAAAAAAAAATGATTGAATTTACCTTGAGCTGCTTTTTCGCTTATTCTCAAATCAGAATCAAAGTTAGCAACATCTGGAAAACGTTCTTGAATTGTTTGTACAATATAATGTAGAAGTGTCATACGTTTATCATGTGTTCGAGTATCTGATAACTAATCAAGAACAACAAAGAAAATAATAAAAACACACAATTTATTAAACTTTTAACTTACCATTTCTAAACTGTTTAATTTAAATCCGTACACCGGTCCTCGTTTACTACTGTTCATATAATTGCCAAATGCCAGGATAATCTACAATAATAATACACACAAATTCACTTTTATTCAATCTAAACTCGAATTTATTTATTTATACTTCAAGTAATTTTTTGAATCTTGCACTATTTTTCAGCGCTAATGATGAATTAATGACTGCTTTCAATTGCTAAAAAGATATAAAATATTAAATAAACAAAATTCAAAACATAACAAAAATTACCTACCGGTGCTAAATTTTCATTAACATCATTAAAATTTGCCATAAACGAAACAACATTTAATTTTTGTGGTAAACGTTCGATTTTTGATAACTAAAACAAAACAAAAAAAATAAGAGTAGAAGTTTTTTTTGACAACAAAATATTCTTACTCCAAATAAAAAGGAATCTTCATCCGATAAATTATTAATATTTTTTCCATCAGACAAGTATGAATTAAAAGATTTTATCTAAATTAAATAAAATCATAAATAATTTACTATTTGTCTAATTTTGACATTTAATAACATACTTCAGATTCTGTAGGAATAAAATGTTGTAATATATCAATTGTATCGATTGTTAATATTTTAAGATCAAGACTAAAAAATAATCATGAACATTGATATATTTAAATTTATAAAAGTAAATCGAAACATACTTGTTTAAAGCTCGCATTATCGTATTTACATCAAGATCTAATTTTCGACGGGCAATAGCTAAAATAAAATGATAGTTTTTAAAATATCTATTCGTATATATTGTATTAAAATAAATAACAACAATAAAATACCTAGATTTCTTTGTCTTTGTGGATCTAATAGTGTTAAACTTTCTGGTACTTTGATAAATTTTGGTTTTATATAAGGACTTATATTTCCGGCATTGTTTACCGGTAGACCACTGCCCGTTTTAAATAATTCTTCAAATGTTTCAAAATCAATCAGCTGAATATCAAATAAATATTAAAATTAACTTTGAACTAAATTTTATTTCAAATATTTACTTTAAGATATTTTTCATCATCCAATTCATTAAACACTGTTCCACGAACTTGTAACTGAAATAGAGAGTTATAAACTTATTGATAATTTTTATGTTTGAGCAAATATTCATTTTACAATTTATTTACCGGTTTTAATGATGTCCAATTTAAATTTGGCAATTTATATTTTGTTTCTATTTTTTTCTTTATAGTCATTGTACCTGGTGGTGCTTCTAGCATGCCTGGAGGTGGTGGTGGAATACCCGTACCAAACATTGGAGGTGGGGGACCTAAAAATATATGTAAATTAAACATTTAGACGCTAATAAACATATGATCTGACAATAACTTACCTGGTGGCGGTGGTGGCGGTATAAAATTTGGTGCTAAAATAGTCAAACGTAATATGAAAAAAGTCAGATACAATGATTTTTCTGCTTTTTACGAGGTAACTGAGATGGAAATGGTGGAGGTGGAGGAATTGTACTTGATGAATATACATTTTGATTAGATGTCATTATAGAATAATTGGATGAACTTGTTGGTGCTCCAGGAGGTGCGGAAGAAATTGACGATACACTACTACTTGGTGAACCTAAAAATCGAAAAAATAAAAATAAAAGAGAATTATGCAATAGTCATATCATTTAGACAAACCTCGTTCATGATTAGGATTTCGTCTTAATGTATTGAGTGTTTGCGTTATATCATCGCGTTCTTTCTAGAAAAAACAAAATAAATTTATTAGAAATAATACCAATTATCAGATAAACTAAATACGTTACCTTTACATATTCAATTTGTTCTTCGGCAACAATTAAAGCTTTTTGTAATTCAGCTAGAAATAAAACAAAAAAAATATATGATAACTTTGAAAGATGAATTTCAAATAATCGTTCACATTTCTTCTGACATGCATGATACATCCATTACAGAGACATTTTTTAAAAATTTAAAAAGCTAGATTTAAAAATATGTTGATATTACATACTTGTTTTATTAACATGTTCTTGTTCAATATCTTGCAATCTTTCGTTTGTCTAAACAGAATATAAATATTGACAAATTTAAAAATTATAGTTTGTCTAAAATGAATCGTCTTACAATTGCTAATTGTTCTTCTAATTCTGATACTTTTCCAATTGCCTGTTGTTTTGTTTCAGAATCTTCTAACAATTGTCCAACATCAAAATAATTATCTAAATAGGCTTGAATTTGTAGTATAAAACGATCACATTCACCATAGAGCTCTTGATATTTCTAATTAAAATTTAAAAAGAAAAGGAATAATATACAAAATAGTTGTCGATATTTATCATCTTCTCTTCTTTTTTTTTTCATTAAAATTCATACTTTTAAACAATCATCTAAACCGAGTAATTTAAATTCTTCTTGTAGATGAACACGATAATTCATATCTTGAACGGAATGTACAACAATATTAATAAATTGCATACAAGCAACCTATACATTGAACATAGATCATAAAGCCATCGAACTTTAAACATTATTTATACAAACCATATAATCAAAATTAAATTCGGATATTTGTGTAAATGATTTCATTAATGTTTCGAATCGATGTCTTTCTTGACAAATCTATCAAATAGATCGATCATAGATGAAATGTTTGTTTTGTTTCATTAAATGACAAATATTTTATTCTTACAATTCGAAAATTATCAAATGCATTTAAAATAACATCGTGTCCAAGTTCTACAAGACAAACGGCAGCTAATAATTCCAAAATAAGAGCTTTACATCTAGAATAATGAGAAAATGAGTAAAAAAATGGAGTGAGTTGTTATAAAAGAGAAAAAATATTACCGATAATTTTTATGTTGTAAACTCAATGTTATATAATTCATTGCTTCACCATGTTGAATAACAAGATTAAAACCATTCTAAAATAAAGAATAAAATTCTATAAACATTAAATAAAATGATGAATAGATATTTGAGCGAAGCAAAAACAAAAAAAATTGATTTCAATAATCTCATGCAGGAGTGTTTACAATAAAAAGCATTTGATAATTTTTTTTTTCTTCTTTCAAACACACAAAATAAGATGCACACATTCAAATTACGTACAACAGATAATGTGTGTGTAAATACCAATAATCTATACACAAAAAGTTCGAGTCATAATCACATGGCTATTTTGAAGAAAATTTAGTAATAAATTATTCAAAACGTTTTAGATTTCTATAAATCACTATAAAAAAATCAGCATTTCTTATTATTATCATCATAATTTTATGAATATTAAAAAACAAATTCCCGGTTCAGTTATATTAATAGAAAAATATGTTTCTTACTTGATTGTTCATAATTGCTCTTAAACACATAATACATAATCGAACATCGTCTGTTGCTTCTCCAATATTATATTTTTTTATTTTACGATATAATTTTTTAGCATCACTACGTCCAATTGTTGTTCGTTTTAAACTATCATTTGAATTATTATTATAATTTAATAATGGAGGTGATGGTGAAATTGGTTTATGATGATTATTTGTAGAACCATTATTTTCATGTGATACAAATGTATCATTTGATTCTACTTCCCTAAAAAAATGAAAATAATTATCATTTAATAAATAATTCAATTCAAAAAATGCTGTTAATAGGACAACAAAAAAAACCAGCGAATTGATGTTTCCCCAAAATACCCGTGCATATTGAAATGTCTAAAGCAGTAAAAATCTAGGAAAGATTTTTTGATAAAAAGAAAAATATATATAGCCTATGACTTCTTATTTGTTTAGTAACTTTGTCATAAAAGACGCAGATAAAGTAATAACCTAATTCCATTTGTAGTAAGTAGATAGATATAAGCGTGTGTGTGAAGAGATAGCTGATTTGTGAGTACATAGTCAAACAAATTTTCTTTCTGTTTGATTCGATGTTTTTGTTATTATTTTACCGAAATAATCCACAAAAAGATAGATGTAAAGGAGATTTTCTATTCTCCTTCTGTCTATTATTGTTGTTGAAGTCTTGTTCATTATAATTCATGGTATTGTTGTTATTTTCAACAATTGAATTACATCTAGTTTTAGAAAATAATATATTATAAGACAAGTTAACAAATATGAATATTCTGCATATTATTCATTAAATACTCATGACAATGTGTATACAATTATGTTCTGATGTAAAAAATGAGTCATCATATAATTTTCTACATACCTCATGACTTCTAAAGATGTTTTTAAATAATCCAATAAGACATCCAAACCCTTATTACTATTACTTAAAAATTCATGTACCCAACTGAAATGAAAGAATTTAACAATATAAATAAATGTGATATAATAATATACAAGAAATTATTAGAGATATGAATTACCCAATATTATTTGTTCTTAATGATATTTCTAAACTTGATAATAATTGTGTTGAATGTTCAATGGGTTGTTTCTTTTTCTAAAAACAATAAACAAAAAAAAAAAATTACTCATTTTCTTTCATCTCTTTTATTCAGTAAATGATAAGTACACGTACCAATGTCGATGCTTTTGGTACGAGATTAGCACCACGGATATACGTTTGTAATGCATTTATATAATAAGATGGTGGATGTTTCGCTGTTACTTGATCCTATGAGAAATATATATATTTGTTTTTTGTGTCTAAAAACTAACAACAGTAAACATCAAAGATAGATACTTGATCACGAATAATATCCCATTTTTTTTCTGGAGGATATTTAAGAAGTTCTTTTGATTTATCTAATGGTAAATCCATTGTTGACTAAAAACACAAAGAGAAAGAAAATTTTGTCTAAAATAACGAGAAAATATTTTTTATAAATATTCTTACAATTGTTCTCTGAAACATTTCATCCAATGTTGCATCGTCTGGTCTTACATTTATCATTCTGTCTAAACTGCCAATACTCTAGAAAAGATAAATTTAACATTAAATATGATAAATTATATTTATTATTGTACATACTTTTCCAATAGTTCGTATTGTTTCAGATGAATTAGACATTCTTGAATCTGGTCTCAAAGATGGCGTTATTACTATCGCCGATCTTTGAGATGAAATTGAACCACCGTTTAAAGCCGTTATTGTTGATGTTTTTAATGTGATAAAATAGACTAAAAATGTTTTCTATTTTCAAAATAAAATCAATATGATTATTATTATTATTATTATTATTATTATTATCTCCTATTAATGATAAAATGATTCATCTTCTTCTTCTTCTTCTTCTTTTCGTATAATCATCACATACATATCTAAGAGAAAGAAGAAAAGAAAGAAAGAAAGAAAAAAAAACGAAATGAATAAATTTTTATCGGAGAAAAAGGATATTACTAATTCTCAAATAAATAGTGAGGAGTGTGCATCAAACAATACCCAGAATACAAATTACGTTTACAATTGCAATTTTCAAAAAAAATAGATTATTTTATATTTTTTAGAAAAGAATTTCACGACTATTCTTGGAAAAACTGATTAAGTAGAGAACACTTTTGGTAAAACGAGACCATGTAAAGAGCGATGATGATTTTCTCTTTTTCAAAATCGAACAACAAGCCAATGTAAGAGGCAATTGAATCTTTACGATAAAGGGATGATTTAATCTTTGATTATTCTTGTTGTAGAATATTTTCAAATTGAACAAATTAAATTTCTAATTAAATTAAATTTTATCTAAAAATAAGACGCTTCGTCTTTTTTTGTAAATTTTTTTATTCAAATTATGTTAAGAATAACAATATTTTTAAAATATCTATCTCATTTTACTTTATATACGAGTTATACTCTAGACTCAAAGAGACTTTTATGTAGAACGACAAAAAATCACATTATCTTTGATCTCTAATTTATAGAAACATCGATAGATATACATCTTGAGTATTGTATTGTTGTCTAAACATTTTGTCTGTATAAAAAATAAACGTATATTTTAAATGTTATTATTTATCAGTATCATATTATTAACAATAAGAAAAATTTGAGAGTAATAATATACCAAGATTTTCTCGCATTTTAAAGGAAAACAGTGAATAATAGATGTCATAAGACGAAAAATGTCCAGGTACAATCCAATCATTCACTGATCACAGTTTCGGTAATGATTAGTTTTATTCATTAATATTTGTAATACTCAATTCGAAAGTTATTATAACATACCGGATGACAAAGAAGATCATAATTCATAGCAAGACCGGATAACGTCAAAACAAAATTATGTCATCCGTTGATTTAAGAGTTAGAATATTAACTGACATGGTTATTTCAATATTAGAAATGAACTATCGTTTGGTGAAAAAAAACATTCGTCAAAGTATCTTATTCGATACCAACACTCATAGATATTGTTAATAATGATTGTCATTACAGTTGTTCAATTCAGAGTTTTGATCAGAGCATGTTTTAGATAAATATCGTCATTATACGTCACAACTCTCTTCCGGCCACTCATCGCTCTTGTTGAACCACTATCTACTTTTAAAATGGTTATATTTATAAACAAAATATTACTAACTCCGCATCGAGTGGTAAAATACTTTAAATAATGAAACTAATCTTTCTAGTTTTAAACTCATTACCCTGTTAAATCAACAAAAGAAAGTATTTCACCGAGAGCAGCGCATTCTAGAACAAAAAGGTAGAAAATTTTTTAATATGTTATCTTATCGAACAAGAAATAGACAACTGATGTTCAGAATAAACAAAGAATTGTTGTTTTTCCCCACCAAATTGCAAGTAATTTATAACAACAATGACTCCATGACTCCATAGATGAGTAACATATTAATACTTTAAAATTATTGCTGATCAAACTAAAATCATTTAAAAACAAACTTCAGCATCACCAAAGACATATGAGCTGAGAAGAAAAAGTTTCAAGAACAACATTCAAGGACGGTTAAATAAATGTGTTTGACGGAAATAAGATAACTGAACACGTTTGAATGAAATGAAAATGTGTGAGAATGGAACAAACTAACTATTCTTTTAACATGACATAAAAAAATTAAAATCGGATAAACTATACCGCATCTTGGATGAAAATATACCATATGGTTATACTTTTCAACCATCATCTAAACGGACTGATATTATTTACACATTATCTTAAACTATAAAAACGAACATGATGAACTGTTCTTGTCGCTTTTCCATAACACTTGTCTATAATATGTCATCGTCAGTTAAATTATACGTTTAACAAACATGTCTTATCGATTATGGAATGAGATATTTACATGTAATACCGAAAAAGATTTTCTATCATTTATCAGTAATGGACGAGGCCATGTCAAAAAAAAAGTCAAGTTCACATAAGTAAAAGATTAAATTGACAGAAAGAATTTTATTCTGATTATCATTTTATTATTTTGTGTCTTTCATTGTATTATATTATTACTCTTTAAAATACTAGACTTTAAAGATTGTACGAAGTGAAAAATAACATATATTGAAATGATTCAGATTTAGGTAGAGTTTGAGAATTGTGTTATTTCATTTCCTAAATGTGTTTTTTTTAATAAGCTGAACTCAATGTTAATACATTAAAAAAAAGATGAATATTGTATTCATATTATTTTATTTTTTTTTTCGGATATAAAGCTTTATGTTTTCAACATGAAGAATGGAGAAGAAAAGAATTTACTCAATTAAATAAACAATTACTAGATATTGTATTTTCTCGAGTAATAAAAGAGTGTCATTCTGATTTTTATTGCGAAATTCTTTAACAGTTGGTGTAGTTCGAATTATCTGCTAAGTTTTATCTAATGTCTACTAGCTACTTGAAACAGAACTTCTGAAAAATTGCAAGAAATCAGTCAATGCTATCATTATTCTGCCAACGTTCAAATTCAAAATTGTTTACTTAGTTTATGCATTTTGAATGTACAATGAGACGAAAACAAAGGATAATTTTTATTTGCCTCATATCTGCACTAACTTTTCTTGAGGAGGATGACTTTTTTCATTTAAAATTAAGAATAAATCTCAATGATTCATATCATTTTCTCTTTTTTCCTCTCATTTATGTATGTTTGAAGGTTATTTTTGCTTTTTTAAATAGTTGCTCACACAGGATACAACCAACGTATAGAAAAAGGACGGATACAAGAAATGTTTTCTTAACTCAAACCTTTTTGTCAAACGCACACACCTTCATTCATTTATTTAACAATTGTAGTTATTCATATAGTAGTAAACGAAGAAGAACAGAAAAAAAGTATAATGTGTTATGTATCATTATAACTAATCACATAAATCTATATATCATGACAAATGCGCGATCATGATTAACATACTGGGTGACGCGCTAAAATGATTTCATCACATATTTTAGTTTCATCTTTAATGTTTATCTTCTAAAACATTTTTCTCTACTAAAAAGAAAACAAAAATTTATAATTTATACGATGAACTTTATGTACTTATGAAGGAAGAAGCTCGCCAAGCGATTAATCACATCATATGGCGATACTGCCGGACTACAGAGTACATCCAGTTATCTATTAATAAAAGCTTTTGGGACTAATATATCTATTTTCTTAGAATTATAAAAATCTTGATAATAATTGCTGAAAAGTTTAGATTTTTCATTAAATTAAGATGTAGAAGCTTCATAACTCTAAGGATATTGATTGATGAGGTCCAAAAGCTTTTGTTAATGGATAAGTGGATGTACTCTGTAGTCTGACAGTATCGGCATGTATTCGATTGAATTCTCTCTCTACAGATTGAATTTCTCTTGATTCATTCAAAATGGGTGTACGAGAGTAAACAATTACAATATTTGTGATGAGCATAAAAAATGACTGATAATCAAGTGCACTCGTAGAAAAAAAGGATTGATCACTTGGTGAGGTTCGCTCATCAGTATTCATTCTCAGATGGTGGATGTCAGAAAGAACAGTCAGCATAGATGAATGAATGCTGACATGACAATTCTTAATCAAAAACATATTTTAGTTTAATGGTACATTTCGATGAAAAGTTAAAAACAACATAAGACTTTCATCTATACTCCTTGTTCATACATACCTTATAATTGTATAATGATATTAAGAAGAATGTGATTTTAAGATTTTTTCTATACTTTTTAATTTTTTTTAAATGAGAAAACAAATAATTCGGAAAAAAAGTTGAAATTCAGTCCTTATATAAAACTCTAGTTTGAAAAATCAATGAGAATTTTTAAAATTTAATCATTCATAATGTAGTTATTAGAATTGAATCTGAATCAACTAATAAAATCTTACTAGACTTCATCCGAAAAGTCTGCAGCTTACCAACGATTTCTTTTTTTATTTTTACTATAGTTATTGATCACACTAAATATTTTGAAGGGTTTATTAGTGTAAATAATGACAAAAAAAACAAAACACTCAAAAAAACCACTTTCAGACATTAGTTATAATTCAAACAAAAACAACTAAGATGGTATGATATATTTAACTTCTGTATATTTTTATGTTTTCATTTAAAAAAAAATGACTTGAAATTTAAATGCTGAACTTATTTTTATATATATTTTTGTAAACGGAGTCAAAATTAGCATTTCTTCGGGCTCAATAATTTATTTTATTCACTTCTTTTTTTTTTTACGATACAATGCAAGTGCAATAATATGTTGATACCTTCCTGTTGTATAAAATTTATCATCAAAAAGATTTTATTGATAGTAAAACTAATGGTGGATATGGTACATTCATTTGAGAAAGAAAATGTGACTTAAAAATTGAAAATTTATTTCTCAATAAATCAATAAGTGTCAAAAGTTTTAATCATACCACTTACTAAACAGAGAATCTTTTATATTTTCTAGCAAAAGTGACAGAAGTGATATTTAACCTAGTAACACTTTATATGAACATTTCATATAATCAAATATAACCCCACATATGTGGTTATATTTGATCACTTTGCTAATGCTTCCACTCTCTCACTTCTTAAAGTAAAGCATTGATAATTGATTGGCACAGAAAAAATTATATCTTTCATTTTCTTTTTCTATCTATATGATAACTATAATATATTGTAGATATCTAGATGAGTATTAATATGTATGTCATTATAGATTCTATAGAGTTTCTTTTTCAGTCATCAATTAATGACTATACAACAGACGCGGATTGTTTTCTGTATGTATGTGTATCTGTACACGTAGATGTTTATTACATTAAATTAAGAAGGCAATCGAGAATGAAAGGTCAATTGAACAAATCATTCACGAAACAAGAGATAATACTATACTACTACGGAAGAGCGTGATGTCAAATATTACATATACATACTGATTCATCTCTTTGTTTTTTAATGAAAATAATATGCAATTATCTAATCTCATGTATTTCTTTTTATTTTTGAACATTGTCATTATGATCACAAAATACTAGGAAAAACACCATCTACTTCCATTCGAAATCAAAATCTTTTGCGCAATATATAGAATATTTTCATATTCGTTTCGTTCACGACCGTAGTTTTCTCTAATAGTTGCCTTTTATTTATTTATTCAATTTATTTCAAAGTAGACAAAAAGATCATGAACAGACTGTTTTCACTTCTTCCAGCGAAGTCATCTGCATGTTTTCGTGCAAAGAAGTTTATCTGTTCAACTTACAATCTCGTTTATCTCATAACATAAAAAAGAACAAGTTTGGATGAGAAGACCTATGGAAAAAAAAGAAAAAGCAGCTCGACTTTTAACTCTAACAAAAACAGGGATAAACATAATAAAATATAAAAAAACAAGCAGCTCATACCAAGCATCAATACTCAAAAAAAAAACATTTTAATTCCAGTAATCAAAAATCATTACTGAATTTTCTCGAACACTTATATTATTTGACGTTTAAACCAAACAAGAAAAGTCATCGTCACCGTTCGATAAGTTAGAACTGTTACTAATGAGCGCAAACAACTGGAAAGATCAAATAAGAGACTCTAAAAATTAATGTTTGCTTTTATGATTACATCTAACCAAAAACTTTCTTGAAATAAATGCTTTTTCCTGCATGGCAGTGAGAAAACATGATTTTTATGGCTGTGATGAGCCATAAGGTCTTTGAGATGGTACTACAGTAAAAGTATGAGTGAGTGTAACATATCGTCGCATGTGTAGCACTAAACATTTTCTTTGACTTTTTTATAGTAGTTTTTACAAGAGCAAATGTCACAGAAACCACAGAATTAGCTAGAATGCAATGACTTCTTTGTACATAAACAGACTTATATTATGTCTCAACGAATTAAAAAAAATCAAGTCAAAAGAAAAAGTATTAGAGATGTACACCTATTCATTGGTGTTCTATTGAGCCAATAAAAAGCACGCTCTCATCCTCTGATTTATTTATAAATCATACATTGCGTATGTTTTATAAAAATGTTATTCTAACTTTTAAATATCTTTTACAGTACTAGTCACCAACTTAAAAGGTAATAGTAGTATTACGCATAGATGCCGTAATAATAAAAAAATATGCAAAATCGTCGCTTATACTCGTATTTTGTGTTACCTTTGCATCTCCATTTTGCTTAGCAATTTCTGAGCATAATTTATGATTATAAAAACGAAACAATAAAGTCGCGATCTCAAATAAATCAACGAAATCTGTAACATTTATCTAAAATTTCATATAGATTGTTTACACGTAATACCAAATGATTTTTTCTTTCATTTTTTCTCATTGTAATCAACTATTAACCAACAAGACTTCTTGTAAAAATAGAGATGTTTCAGATGACGATGTTAGTTTCGAAATTTCCTCTTGAAACATAGTACATTCATTTTGATTTTCACGAACGGACTCTGGTTCATTTGTATTTTTGTGATAATAGCGATGATGGCAGTGATGAGTGTTAAATGAAATATAATTAAAATTATTAATTGTTTGTTGCTGTTGTTGTCCTTTATCTCCGTGATCATGAGAATTTATTTTTTGCCGTTTAATCGAATTTGTATTTGTCATTGATAATCGCTTTTTCCTTATTAATTTATTACCATCAACTACACATTCATTCAGTCTAAAAGGATCTATCAGGTTATCAATAGTTTTTGTTGTTATTTGTGATGAAACACTTTCAGCTGAATCCGATTTTATTGTTGATTGTAATAAATGTCTGTTATGTTGATACAATGTACACATATTATCGGGTTTTGTAGAACGTAAATTTGTTGGTGCTAAAATGAAGATGATTCTAATTCAGGTCAAACTATTCTATATAAGATTTGTTATGCTTTAATAAGAAATTTTAAGTTATTTTTTAACGGTACATTATGCAATACAAATTGCGAACATAGTATTAACGAAATATCGAAAATAAATACTTACAATAATTTGACTTTAGTACGTTGTTTGATGTTGAATGTAATATTGATGTTAAAGATGATAAATAATCAGAAGATTTTTTAAGATCACTTCGATCATTATTCTTATACCCTAAATCTTTTAGTATATATTCAATATTTGATTTTCGTTGCTCAGAATCTTTCATTGGTATAGTAATAGGTGATATTGAATTCTGCATAACATTATCAATTGGTAAACGATTTAATGTGAACCACGTTAAACTATTATCATATTGTTGTTCTTTTTCTACGGTTATTATTTTAGTCCAAAAAGGTTTTATTGATCTCTGAACAGAAGAATTTGATGAACAATCAGCTGAACAAAAATGGTGAGTTACTGTTGGAGATAAACTTGTCAATAAACTATTATCATTATCGTTGATCGGTATTGTTTTTTTCACTGAGCCAATTGGTTTCGTTTTCAAACCTTTTTTAGATATTATTATTTCTTTTGTTGTTGCTATTGTATGTACAGAAGTATTATTATCGACTAATTGTGTACAGGACTTGTTCAACGGTGATTGTTTAACGAGACGAGCTAAATCAGCGGCAGAATAACCAATAACCGTTTGTAAATCACATACAAAACGATAATGACAACGTTTATTTGCTACTTTTGCTAACATATCGCCTTCATAGTAATAACGTAGTGCACGTGTTAATTTTTCATATGTCATTGATGGCTTTTTTTTTCGTTTACCCCATAACATAGATACAGCATGAGGATTTTTAAAACAAAACTCACCTAAAAAAATATCACTTACATAATAGCAATTTACGACAAAAGATTAGTGAATAAATAGACCTTCTTCTCCATCTACCCAATGGATTATATTGGCATAATTTTTGTCTGTAAGTATTTCTAATAAAAACTGCCATAATTGCGGAATCTGATCTCCATTTGTACCTTAAAACAGAAGTCAATAGTGTATTATCAAAAGATAAAATGGCAAATTGATAAATGCACTATGTTCTATATCATCTTTCTTTATTCATTGTTTTTCCATACTAATTTGTCTTTAATAATCCTTACCCTTTATGGATTTAGAATTTTTTTTGAATAGTCCCAATGAAAATGGCATATATGTTAACTGAAGCCTACTGTGACGCTTAGTCATGGTTTATATATGGTAGAATTTAACTTCTGATATGCATGTCGTAATTCTTTATCAAACAAATATACACATGATAGCACATAGAACGTATCATCATGTCTAATTAAACATGTTATGTTTGCATGTATATGCGCGCATTTGTTTTAACTTTCGTAGAAGGCGTAATATAGTATGAAAGGTACTTTGTTATATATACCCAAAATAGCGGTAGAAAACAAGTAGAAGCGCAGAAACACGTGTAAAGATCTGTATTCAATGGACATGTCCATGGACGAGACATGAAGAAAAAAGATTTCTAGGCAGATCTCTAGGAACATGTAATAAAGAGATAGTGTGATACATGTGTGTGATACAGGCTGTAAAATATCCTCCTACGAGAGAGATAATTCATCATTTGAAGATTTGTGTCTCCTAAAAATATGTCTCTCTGAATGTTCCTCAAGAAATATCTCTTCCCATTTGTGAACTCAAAAATAGGGTTTCTAACGATCGTGCATTAAAAGAAGGATATCGCGCCTTGGGGCTACCGTTTTCGATATAGGATGCTGCCGAATGGCAATTTCAATAGCCCAATGTTGTCCCTGCAGCTAACAAGTTTCTGATATGGTCCCCATCTCGTTACTAGTCATCAGCCACAGTTCTGGACAGAAGGATAATCTAACGCAGAGTTCTTTCGTCCAATTACTTGGGCACACACATACACTTTTTTCTATCTACTTTTAGTACAATGTCTTTAACTCTTTCACTGGCGGGGGCGTCTTTTGACGCCAAGTAGTAGTATTAGGTAGCCCAGATAAAATAGGACACTGTGTTCGTTGTTTTTGGGGCACTGTCCAGTAGTTCAACGAGTTCGTTTAAGCTCAATCGATAGAGAATTGAATTCTCTACAAAACCTGCTATTTCAATCTCTGATAGCATTTTTCTCGTTTGAGTACCATTCAAAATATTAAAGGGTGCTGAGTTGTCGGACTGCGGCACACTGAAAATAGAAAAATATTTACCTTGATCCAAAAACAGATTCCATAAGAATTTTAAAAACATCAGAAAATTCACCAGAAAATTCTGCATCTCCTCACATATTTTTCGAAATTTTGCAGTTAAGTTTTCTAGAAAAAATTTTCTGTGTAATAAACTGATAAATCTAAAACAACCTAACTTTTGAACCTATTTTTCACAGACTTCAGGTTTTTGGCAATAAAAGCAGTAAAACGTTCTGAATCCAGAGTTTTAGTTTTACTATCTTACTCAGAATTAAGCTGTGCATTTTTTGATAAATAAACAAAGTTTCTCAGTTGAAACCATTAATTAAAAATATTAATTTAATTTAAGCAAATTGAAAAGCCGGTTGAGAACTAATTATGAGTTCAGTTGACGTAGCGAAAACATTGTATGAAGTTATAAATGAGTGAGATCGATAAAGCACAAAATTATCTATCTTTCCACCTAGAAAAATTAAGTATTGAACCTCAGACAAAGGACTAAAATTCTCAAAAAAGGAAAAAAATACGTCGCAGTGCGGCAACTCAGTACCATACAATATGCTGAATGGTACTCAAACGAGAAAAATGCTATCAGAGATTGAAATAGCAGGTTTTGTAGAGAATTCAATTCTCTATCGATTGAGCTTAAAATGAAACTCTTTGAACTACTGGATAGTGCCTCAAAAAAAAACAAAGTGTCCCATTTTATCTGGGAGTTAACAATATTGTCGAAATCTGCTATATTACGATGCAGAACACATGAAAAAAAGAGTCTACTAGATAATAGATTTTTGCCTGATTGTGTTACAGACGAAACACGTTCAAGTAAGTTTCAAACTAGCTATGGAACAGTTGCTCAACCTGTCTTGTGAAAGAGGGAATGGTAGAAGTTCAAATAGTTTAGAAGTTGTATTTGTGTCTGTTAGACTGAACTTTTTGGGAGTAATAATAATTATTTTTTGTTCAACAACAACAACAGAAGAAGGTGGGGAAGAAATTTTCTTTAAAAATGTCTATCTATCATTTTCAGATCTATTATTGAAAGGTAAAAACATTTTGAAAACAAATTACATAGCCTTTGTTGAAATATATCTACACGAATAATTATAAACGTTGCAGGTATGAAGCACGTATTATAAGAAAGTTGTCTTCTGAATCTAAGACAACTGCGCTGAAAATAATAAGCAAAATCAGTCAAAGAAGAAATTAAGAATTTTTCATTGAAGATTGTCACTTACAGAAAATACTCACCTCCTTCCACTGTGGTGACTAGTTCTGTTTGTATTTTTTTTTTCTCTCTCTGTTATTTCTGTATTGTTAGTTTCTTTTATTGCTCGTTGACTATAGTCATTGTTATTATTATAGGTCGGAAATCTTTGATGACTGTCGCTTCTCGTGCATAAATTAGTCTTGGTGAGATTGAGGATGTGATGACGTTTTAAAAGTATACCTACTATTATTCATTGCTAGTTTTAGTATGAAAGTCTTTTTTTCTTAAAAATGTTTTAATATTTGAATACCACAAAGAATGTCAAAACGTCTGTCTGAAGGCATTGATATCAAAAATTCTCGCGAAAATATGAATGGAAGCAATGAGAATAAAGAAGAAGAACAAAAGTGTAAAGAAAACGAGCAAGATGACGGTGTGGAAGAGATTAGAAACTTAAAAGCTAACGACAAGTTCTACTTAAGTCATCATTGATTATTTTCTTTAATAGGTTGAAGAAGTAATGCCGGACTTTTATTTAGCGATGATGATAATTTCGGCTGCAATTATTCTGACGAAACACTTTATCCTGATTTATTCCTTGAAAAATCAAACAAAGTTAGAAAAATCAAAAGCGGTTGTTTCAAAAGTGTGCAGTAGATATGGTACAATTAAAAACGAATATTATTCAATTGATGATGAAGAAAAAACAAAAGGTTATGGGTTGTACTTTTTAGCTCAATTCTTCATTGAGAATTTTTGGTTTAGAAAATAGATAGTTATCGTTTGGATAAATCTTATCAATCTATCGTGGTATTAGGAAATAATCCTGATGCTGAATAGCAGTGTCTGACTATTGATTAAAGGAAAATGCGTAGGTAGTTCATCATTTGGATGGCCTTACGAATCTTAGATTAGTTATCCAGTATAGTGGATAGAATTATTGGTGAATTTCTAAATATCAAATCGATTTAATGTAAAATTCTCGTAATTAATTTGTCATACAATTTAAATAATCTTGTATTGGAATATGGTATTCGTCTGGCAAATTCTTTTGACTGAATGAATGAGATATCAATAATATCTCCTTGTGCTAGCGAGATTTACTTATTTATAACATTTTTGTCTGCTTTATATATGTATATATATATATATATATATACTACAGTGCAAAACAATGGATCATAAGTGTGTATCTATTCAAAAACATCACAAAAAAATCCATAATAAAATCCAAATAGAAGTTTAACATACAATAGCAAGCGTGCAACATAAAGATAAATAAAATTGTTTTTTTTAATTATTATAATAAAATATATTTTTTTACACTGAAAGAAGAGAGTATGATACAGAATTTTATTAATTATCATCAAAATACGAAAATTAAATGAGAGAAAAACTAAACATTTTACATTTTGTAAGTTATTTAGACGCTAAAGATGGATAGTTTTCAGATAGAGATAGTTGCTTTTTGCCTTTTCTCCCATGTTATACAATATCTAAATACATGATTTTCCTTTAAATTTTAAACGATAAAGTTTTTGCAAACATTGAACAGATATCAATTGTACAGTCGATCAAAAACAGTGTTTGTGATTTATCGTCAAATATAACTTTCAAAATATATGCTAATTTATCTAGTCAACATACAATATATTTTCCTTCCTATTTATTGAGAAAAAGAATATTACTTTTGACAGATTTCTTGCCAGTAACAAATCTTTAGTTAGCCGTATATGATCGTTCACTCAACATTTCACAGAGTGAAAGAGCACAGCATCTACTTATATTCTTCCAACTTTTTTTTTCTTCTGTCAAACAACAGAAAAATATCCATCATCCTTGATAGAAAGAACGTGTACAACAAAGGAAAACAAAACAGAAGAATAAGTATATAGTAAAAAATCACCAGATTATATTGTGTTTAAAAAGATATACATACTATTGGAAATATAATAGATAAATTAGAGAGAGAAAAAAAAACAAATAATTACAAGTTCATCTCAACTGTTGGCTAATTAATGTTGTTAGTTGTTACATTCACACACTGCTATTTTCAAACAATGATCTGAGCGTTGCCTCCAAAATACAGAAGAAAATAAAAAATAACAACAATTAACAGATTAAAAAAAAGCAAACGAAAAATGTTTTTATTGCAATCAATTTTTGTCTCTGATCGAAAAAAAAAATATTGATCAATAAAATAGATAAAGACAGGAATAAATTGATGTTATACATATATATATATATATATATATATATATATATAAAATGTCAAAAAGTCATGAAAACTCACTCACCCATTTAATTTAATACTGAAATAAACGAATCTGATTTTAAGAGAGGTTAGAGAGGAGACAAATTCAGTATCAACGTATATTTTGCAGGTATAATTTAGAGTATGTGTCTCTTATTTAACATTTTATTCCATCTGTAATATTAAAATTTCTTTTTACTTTACGATCGAACAATTAAACAAAAGAAACATATAACAATAGAGACGTAAAAGAACATATATGGGTATGCAGTATATGTATATCAAATATGTGTTTATTAATAATTTTTTTTTATGTGTGAATATAATTTAAGAGAATAAAAAGGATATCTTTTATAATAAAAAGAATAAATGACCAACAACAAAAAAAAATTTAAAACTAACAGAAAAAAAAGAAAAAAAACAACCAACAAACAACATCAACAACAGTAAATAACAACAACAAATGAAATTCGTGTGCGGCTGAGAAAAAAGAGAGGAGAGAAAGAGAGATAAACAGAGAAAAACTGTGTAAAGACAAACAAATAGAGGCCAAGCCCATTTTTGGCACGTGTGGGCGTGCGTTCTTTGTTTCATAAATCATCTCACTGTGTCTTTAAACCATTATGCATTGTTGTTGTCGTTTGTGTTGTTGATGCCGTTGTTGTTATACCGCCATATTTTGTATAAATAAAATTAGCCATAACAGCTACAAATATCGCCAATAATGTAAAACATATAAATATAATAATAGCCCATTCTTGATCTGTTAATTGACGACTCTCAAATGCTGTATACGTTTTAAATTTACGTTGTATAAAAGAGAAACATTTATTTGATAGACTTTGATTCTTCGTCGATGTTGTCATAGATGGTGACGGATAGGATGTATGATGGTGAGACGATGATGATGAAGACGGTGACGAAAATTGTATTGTATCAATGTTCGATGGTGTAGAGATATGGTATGGGTGTGACGACGGACGATTAATTTGTGTACGCTGTTGCTGTTGTTGTAATAATTCTTCTGGACGAGGTAATGTAAAATGGGTTACAGGACTATAGGGACCATTTAATAGGATCCCTTCATTCGTTACACGTATTGCACAAACACGAATACAGTAATCAATACCAGCTACCAAATTCGTTACACGATAAGATGACATTTCACCATTGTACAACTTGAATTAGAAAAAGAAAAGGATAAAAATGTAAGACATATCTCGAATAATTGCAATATGAAATATTTATAATTCATGTGAAAATGAAGTTTTTAGCTCTCGATCAAAAAATGCAACATCAAGCCCAAAGTAAGATCCTGCTTCCCACAGTGTATATTGACGTTAATTCAAAAATTAAAAGTAAAAATTCTTTTCATTCTTGATCGATCATAGGCACAAAAGAAATAATTCAATTAAACAATGCATTTTTCGGAGAAAACTCATGCTAATTATAAAGAATATAAAAATAAATGTATCTTACTTCAAAATAATCTTCTTTTCTGTATACTTGTATTTGTAACATATAACTAATTACATCTTTTCCTAACGGTTTATGTGGTTGCCAATTGATGAGACATGATGTACTTGTTATATCAGTTATATAGGGTGCTAGAAAAAATAAAGAAATAAAATTGATTGAAAATAATGACAAAAAAAAGAATAATAGTATTCCCATTAAAGTACCTTTCAAGACATTTGGTGGCGCCTTTGTTGTTGTAAATGTATATATTTCCGACCATGGTCCAGCACCCGTTTCATTTTTGGCACATATACGGAAATTGTATGGTGTATATTCTAATAATTTATTGATTTTATGTGTAAAATTATTGCCAGTGTAAATTGAATTGAAACTAAATATCCAACATTTTATGATAAACCATATCGGAAGAAAGGGTGTATAGAAAAACATACATTCCGTCTTTTCCTTCTATTTCTACTGTAAATATGATTGTTTTCTGACTGTTAGAGTTGGTGGTCGTATTATTAGAAGTGCTACTGTTATTTGTGTTACTATTAATTAGTGTATCCATGGGTGTAGCTGATAGTGTTGCAGTGCTTCCCACAATTCGATTCTGCAATTGGTCACCATTACCCCATTTTAATTTTAACGAGTTACATGTGGCTGCTATACACTCTAAACGTGGAGGATCTGGCGGTAAACTTTTTGTTGGGCTGAAAATGAACAGAGTTATATGATGATCTAGACAAATAGTAGCTGTTTGAATTTACCATTTCACTGTAGATGAGAATGGTCCAGGACCAATATTATTAATAGCTCGTACACGTATCCTAAAAGAGATATCAAGATATAAATTTTAATCAGTTATGACATAACTGTTATGGGATAGCTAAACAAAGTGGTCAAACAAGACTTTTCATTCATCGCAACAGAATGAACAGTGCTGTACCTGTATGTCGTATCTGGTAAAACTTCATCGATTGTATATTCGGTTAATTCTCCAACAAATATTAATTCTTTTTCTCCGATATCAATATAATATCCGGTAATTGGTGATCCATTATTTGCTGGCTCTTTCCAGCTTAATGAGATAGATGTTGATTTTGCATGTGCTTTTACTGACGTAACAATAGCTGGACAAGTTGGTGGTGTAACACATGAAGCAATCGACGTGTATGGACCTTGTCCCGCAGAATTCACTGCCTAAAAAAACGTTTAGTCGACTTCATAAGTTATCATAGCCAAGTCTCGATGATTATTACCTGTACACGAAAACAATAAAGTGTTGCCGGTGTAAGACCTTTTACTTCATAAGAAACATTGGGCCCACAATACAACTGTGTGAAACTATCTCCTTCCTTTCTTGACCACTCTAGTCGATATTCTGTTATAGCGGCGCCATTATTGACTCCTTCTTCCCAAGTAATTATTGCACTATTAGCAGCACGACATTGTACAAGAAAATTTCTTGGTGCATCAGGAACACCAGGACCAGATAGAACATCTAAATACTCAGACCATGGACCAGCCTAGAAAAAATGAGAACGATGAAAAATAGATCAAAAAACCATTGATTTGATTTATTATATTAATATTTACGCCGGCTTTGTTAAACGCTCGAACTTGAAATAAATACGGTCTTCCGGGTAGTAAAGCCGTTACTATACAATCCAAATCTTTTCCACGATAAACAAGTCTCGATGAATTGTCAGGATTTGTTATCTGAACTTCAAAATCAATGATATCTGCACCACCATCATAATCTGGATAAGCTACAAAAAACATAATTTTGTGAAGTTACATATAGAAAAGACTTATAAGATGATTAAAAAAAGTATACCCCAACGAAGATGTAAAGAATTGGCTTTTGGTTTTCCGGATACTCTCGGTGGATGACAAGATGCTGGAGCAACAGCTGGCGTTTGAAGTTTTGTTGTATCAGATAGATCACTTTGACCGGCAACAGAAGTACAAGACACACGTAATATATAGTTATGGCCAGGTATTAACTGTTCTAGACAATGTTCAGTTTCTAATCCATTATATATCATATGAAATCCTACAAAAAGAAAACTAAAGTGTACTAAGAACTGAATTAATATTACAGAAAAGAAATCACTTTTATAATTAAAAGTTAAATAATCAAAGTACAATAGAGAGAACAACAACAGGAAAGCGACTATACAATACTGAAGAAATGAAGAAACTGTAATCTTCAGGATCTATTTAGGAGTATAGGCATTTTTATACAAGCAAACATTAAGCACATTCGAATCACAGTTTAGAAGTATATAACGATGGCTATTAACATTGAATATACAGAGACAAGTAATTTCTATTGAACAAAGACAATATTAAATGAGAACTATCTTACGAACCGTCATCTGCTATAAAGAATATAAGAATATTAAAAAAAAAAATTAAAAAAAAAAATGATAATTAACATACCTTTCGCTTCTTCTAATTCTAAATGATATCTCTGGATCTCTGATCCACCATTGTCTCTTGGAGGATCTAAATTAACCACAAAATATATTGAATGAAGCAGAATGTTCAGATATATAAAATTGAAAAACTAACCCCAAGTAATTCGACAGTATGTCGGTTGAATATGCCCTTTTATACGTGGTTTCGATGGTGCTCCGGGTCGATCAGGTAACGTTCGATAAGATACAATTTGTGAATAATTACTTTGACCTTCTTCATTGTTCGCTGCCAACTAGAGGAGAAAAAAGCATAACTTCTTTAAAAGTTCAAACTTGGATAATTTAGTCTAATTTTACTCGAAATTTGTATTCTGTATTTCGATATAAATCCGTTATTTTATAAGATAAATTGGAGCCAATATATCTGTTACGAAAATAATGTGATTCATCACTCATTTGCAATGTAAATGATTCATCCATTTGACGTTTAATCCACGATAATGTTAAAAATTTAACTCCTTTTTCATGCAACATAGGCGGATCAGGCTCAGGTGGAATTGTTCCTGTTGTACTGAATTGAACCGGATCACTAAATTCACTAAATTAAAAAAAAACAATAAATAAATAAAATTAGAGTGTAAATAATAAAAAATTTTATTTATACAAAAATCATACCTTCTTCCAATACTGTTTTCTGCTGCCAAACGAAATGAATAATATGTTGCGGGTGTTAATTTATTAATCATAAATTGTTTTTTTGAACCACGATATATTTCAATATATTCTCGACCTTTGCCCTAATGTGAAGGAATTATTATCATTAGTGATAAATAATTACACCAGTGATTCGAACTTACTTCATCATATTCCAATATATAGTTTAAGATTTTCGATCCATTATCAATAGCTGCCTAAAAATGAGAAACATTTGCAAAAAACATTTCCAATTTCTTTTCCTTCAACTTACACCCCATCTTAAAGTTAATGAATTTTTCAATCTTCCACCTAACAATTTTGGTGGTAATGGCCTATCTGGTTCACATTGTTCGGTTACAAACGGCACCGGATTTGTATATTCGCCTTTATAAGTATCAATACACGCGCAAACTCTATAAAGAGATAACAAGCGACAAAATTAAGTTGTATTGTACTCAAAAAGTTATTTAAACTATAATTAATTAGACTTTCTACATCCCGACAAGTATTTCTGATTAATGAAGGTTTGTTAAAAAAATAAATACTAAACACTCTGAATCCTCAGCTGAAGAATGGTAAATGAACAAACTACTTTTGAATAACAAAATCGTTTTAAAAAATTGTCTGTGCCATAAACATACTTGAGATGATATTCCGTGGCTGGTTTCAAATCTTTCAATGTAATTTCATTTGCATCACCACTAAAATATTCGTATGTCATTATTATTACTACGTTTGTATTATTTAAATAGAAAAACGTTATTTATTGACTATGATAACAAACCTGTACACTTGTTTATATTTGGCATCTTTTCCTTTATCTGACAATAATAATTCATAAATTAAATCCGTAAAATCAATTTGATAATCATCTTGTTGCTGTGATGGTGAGGGTGGTACTGTAGTGGCTGGTGTAACAATGGTAGGAGTGGTAGTTGTTGATGATGCAGAAGAAGACGCAGATCTTGGTGGTTGCAATCGAACTAATGCACTACGACTTTCAATATCTTGTATCTTAAAAATACACAAAAATAAGATGTTAGAGTTTAATAATATGAAATAATAAATTTTCTCTAACATACAATTGGTGGTGTCAAATTCGATAATCCTTTTTCAATTGTTTGTCTTTCTTTATCATATTCACATAATTCTGGCTCCGACGATAAATTACTGGCCACCATTTCTGACGAATAATAAGGTGAATAATGTTGTTTATCACCCCCGTCTAAAAATACAGATATAGGATTTTTTTTTCACACACATACAATGACGACCTGGTAGATGAAGAAGAAATGTATTCAAACGTATGTGACGATAACTTTTCACAGGAAAAGTGATCATTGTTGTTGGTATAGGCAGATTTATATTGATATCCATTCCGCCGTTCTATTAACTCTCAATTATGACAAGTATAATAATGTGCTTCATTTTCCTTTATATTTCAGTTATGTTTACATAAAACAAAAAAGAAAAAAAAGAAGAGAACATAATGAACTTTTTATTTTTTTATTTTTTTTTTCTATATATATTAAAAATAGACGCAAACAGCTGATTATTTTATTGTTTGTCTTTCTACATGTGATATTTGTGTAGATTTATATATAATACAATATCTATGGCGCCACAAACGAAAATAATAGAACTATATGCCAATTGAAATAGGAAATTTATTACTAGTCGCAATGTGTCAATCAATTACTCAAAAGAGTATAAATTTCAGACAGCTGCTAGAAGCAAGTTCATTTTTCTAAAAATAACATATATTTTTAAGTTTATGCAAACATGAAAAACGAAACAATCCTATTATTAACCGTCGTATTGCATAGGAGCGCAGTATAAATCTGTGCAATGCATTTATATCGAAGAATGATACCATGAATTTAATAATAAACACATACAACAGATCATAGTGAGAATGTTTTTATATTCCTATTGTTATTTAGATGACCAGTTGCAGTGTGTATATTCATTCTATCAACTCACATATTCTGAACGACAAAACAAAAAAAAACTTTTTTTTCTCCCATTTATGAAAAAATAGGACAAAAGGTAATTTATATATCTCGAACAATAAAGGTCAATGTGAGAAAGAGAGAGAGGAAGGAAGAAGAACGTGTTTTTGTAGATTTTAAGAGCTTTTAGGCAAACAAACAAAATTGTTCTTCAACAGTTATAATAAATTACTTCCACTTCGATAGAATGAGAACGAATTCTTGCAATTTTCACCTTATTTAGTCTTTTTTCTTTTTGACAAATTCATTCATACACACACAATTATTAAAAAGTTGTCAGCGCACCAACGATATGGACGAGAAAAAAGATTGTTTCAAATAGTAAAGAGTAAAAATACCCACAGAATTTAAAATATCCACAGAAGAAACCCACCGTAATTTAATCTAAAATTTGACTTATGAGGAATTTTACAAAAAAAATAACGCCAAATATTTATTTAGATAATGGCATAAAATAGATAAGAAAAGATTGTCATAAAAAACTGACCTTTTTCTGGAACAAAAAAAAATTAAGTTAAAAGATCGATGAATTATCTTTTCATACAGTACATAACGTCTACGTAATGTCCGTACAAAAATACAGAACTCATACTTTAGTATCTTGTTATCCTTTCAAAAGATAATAAATTCTTTCTATAATAAATATTTTGCTAAAATCTTTCATATATCCTCTCATCCTTAAAATGATTCTATTCTATATATTTTATTTTGTGTTCTAATATCATACTCGATGCAAAAAAACTTGAAAAATTCAAATCTACGAAAACTGAATAGAGTTTAAGCACTAGTCATTCAAATAATCTGAAAATATGGTAATATATTTTACTAGTGATTTAACAAAAGTCACTGTGTCATAATTATTAATACTAAAATCTCTCAAAATGGTATTATAAACAGTATTGTTCACTTACTTATCGGTCCAGCAGCACCACTCATATTTGCTCCATATGAATTATTGAGTATTCGACGCTTTTGTCCCATTCGATTATTATTTGGATTGGTGCTATTATTATTAATATAAACCGGTGAACGACGTTGACTGGTTGTTGTACTTGTACTATTATCAGTCGCATGTAAATGACATGATGAAGCAGCTAAAAAAGATGAAACAATGTTGAATACATGTGTGTTTGAAAAAAAAAACAGTAACTTACAATTTGTTGGTGAAACATGATTACATGGTCGATAGGCATCTGGATAGCCGAGTAATGGATTTTGATATTGATGATAAAGACCATTATATGGTGTTTGAGAATAACCGGGGTGTACATGATGATGATGATGATGTGGTGCTGCTGCTGCTGGATGATGTTGTGATAAAATGACATGTGTCAATATTCCATTTTCATCTAATAATTGTTGAACAATATGACCAGGCGGTAAATGTAATGGTAGAGGAAACGCAGGACCATCATTCGATATCATTCTCACTGTAGCTGGACCTAAATCACATACAACAATATAGAAAATTTGTTAAGTAATACATTTAGAAAAAGAAATGAATTTCATTTAAAGACCTTGACAATCAAAATCATGTCAAAAAGTTAAGCCCGGTTTTTCTTTATGATATTCGGTAGAAAAAATATTGAACCCGCATTTTTTTGTCTGCACATATGATTGGTTTGCTTGTCGCTCATATAATTCGAACGTGATAAAAAAATGAGAATACAGCCGTTATGAGAGAAGTTTTTCTTCTTCTTTATTTTTGATAAGGTTTCAGTAGAAAAAAAAAAGAGGAATAAGGAAAAGAATAAGAATAAATGTGTATGTAGATTTTGTATTGTGTCGATAGTGAACATATTGTCAAAGTATTAACACAACATTTTTTTTCTCAAGGCAGTATACACACGCAATGGATTAAGAAATTACTCATATGATCATTTCGAGAATTCTCCAATGCTATTGTGACGTGTTATTTTTTTTATTCATTGAAAAAATCATCGTACAGAAACTTATCTATGAATTTTCACGTAAAACTCATAGACTCACTTTATATTTAGAGGGTTAATAGGTTATCCGTATATACCACCTCTTCAACATGTTTTATATATGTAACTAATAATTTTTTTTCATTATTATTTTCTATTCTGGTTCCGTTTTTTAAAACTATATATATATATTATACAGGTGGTCACTCACGAAAAAACGCCTACACACATGTACATTGCTTGGCAGATAAGTATGTCACACATTAGTGTACAATAATAAGCAGTCATAGAACGTTACGTTTACAAAAAATGCAAAATATAATATATAAGTGAATATGACTCCATTTCTTTAAAAAAATGTGTTACCTGAGCGAATGCTGTACATACCAGACCATCTTTTTCTAGAAAAAAAAGCCTCCCACAACCCATGTTTTGTACCTTTAACTTAAAGAGCCTACTGTCGTTAGCTAAAAATACTTTGATAGCTTACAAAAAAAACTTCATTCAAACATTGATCTGGGAAAAGCAAAATACTATTCAGAAAGTTTATAAAGTCACTGTAAATTGAATCATTTCGTTTTCACATTAATTCAACTAGAATACCTGCAAGAAGGAAATTAAAGAAATAAAGCGACAGATAGAGTAGCAGACATATGTATTAGATAATCTCCTTTTCTCATTGACAGATTTATTAATAATCAATCACTATGCTACCGAAAAACAAATGATTACCAACAGTTTTCTGTATACTATTCACAGATTCCGTATATCCTACAATGATTTCGTGAAAATAAGACTAAATGAGATAGATACAATAATGTAGGCAACATACAGTGAGAGAGAGAGAGAGAACATGATGATGTACAAAAGAAAACTTTTTGTTAATGACGTGTATAAATTTAGTTGGAATAGATGCCACAAAGAAAAACTGGAAATGTCGCGTATGAAAATATCATCTATAAATACATACACACAGAAAATGGGCGGAATCGTCCCGTTGTCGATATCTCACAAACTAGGACATCAAATTTCATCTTTGTCTACTGATACAGCTGATGCAGACATCTCTTAATTGTTATCTAGCATAGATTAGAGCAATATTTAACTTTTCTCTTTTCCTTCAACATGTTATGTCTTTATTTTTACTTTTAGTACCTTTTAGTTTGTTCAATATAATCTGACGATCTCTCAAACATCCGTCGAAGATCAATTTTCAAAAAAATATATTAAAGCTTAAAGCAAACAAAACAAAAAAAACGTTTTAGCCTTCAACAATGATATAACATTTTTTATACGACAGTTTTATTAACATTGGCATTGATAAACATATGACAATGATTATTTCCAAAGATCAATTAAACCATCTAGTTATCGAATATAAATGCAAATAAATCACTTTGTACTACTTCAAGTGTAGTTATTTTTCTATTTTTGTTCTTTTCCGTCACATCATATTTAATAGAGTAATAACAATAAACACCTAACCATAGTAAAAAAAATAGAAATAAAAGGAGCAATGCTTACACTCATAGACGTGACAAAAAGTTCAAAAGAGAAAACAAAACAAATGGATTAAAATCCTTTTCTTTTCTCACACGTGCTTCATTCTGTGAACACATTTTAGAATAAAATCTTGGGGATTTCCGACAAAAAAAAAGAAATGTCCGTTAGACATCATCGTGTACCCTGATCATACACACGCATACATACAGACATCAATCAATCACAATCAGTTATATTTTTTCTACAACATGCAATTTCAGCCATAATTTTTTTCTTCTTACTGTATTTGTAACACATACACACACACACACACACATACAGATTGACTACTTCATTACTCATACACAATGAATCAATCCATGGCACTTTTCAATTAAATGTTTGTTTAGTCCATTATCATTCAATAACTATAGATATTTAGATATGCACTGAATAAAATATACTCTTTTTTTTTTTAATCATAACTCTGTTTATTAAGAAAAGATACAACAAACTTGACTTAGTGAGCAGACCAAGGTCTATGATGCAGAGTCAACTAGACAATCTAACGAAGAACTAAGACAAATACATATATAGGTTGTACTTTTAGTAGTCTATATTTTGGAAATGAATATCATAAATTTTCGTAGAGGATAATTAACAACAATATACTTAATGTGTTACAAAATTTAGTTGCCCTTACTATTGTCAAAAGATGAATCAATTAGTTTGATTTCCTCTAGTTCTAATCAAAATATTGTGCTACCAGTAGTCAAACAAGGAAAAATTTTTAAGTTCTATGTAAAGACAATCTGTTTTCAAAACAGAAATAAAAAAAAAACAATTTTATGCAAATTTTTCTAACTGGTTTTTTTTTTTCTTTCAATAACTGATGCTACAATGCATTGTATATATATTTAATTTATATCTCGCAATACGAAAGAAAAATACATACTTATCACAAGGTAATATTTAACTGTGCACGCACGCAAAACACAATCAGTGGTGTTTTCAACCTACTTTGTGACGTTGCTGCTGTAACAGCAGCAGAATTTAACCAAGAACAAAGTGGATCATTTGGTGACGATTGTGATGATGATGAACAAGACGATTGAGCATAATGCCCATTTATCGTATGAATATTATTATTTCTACTGTTATTATTATTCTCATCGTTAAAACCTGTTCTAGAACTACTATTATTCACTGTATTATTTGTTCGTGTTATTAATGATAGTCGATCGGAATATTGTGGTTGTGGTTGCTGATAATAGGGTTGGTAATAATTTCCATTTGTCAACGGTTTTTTTGTTGTGCCATCGATCGATGAAGCTGATGATGATGTTGTTGATGAACAAGTTGATGATGTTTTTATACAATTATGATCGTACATAGTTTAAAATACTAAATAAAGCATTCTTAAAAAACACACAACAAATCTTATAGTAGTAGTATTGTTATTTATGATAATAACGATGATAGCAACAAAATTTTGACATTATACAGAGACAAATAAAAAAAAATAAGAGAGAGAGAGAGAACGAGAAAATATCGGAATATACTCGAACTACCTTTTGACAAGATGCCCGCTTTTCTTTTCTTCGTTTCCTCTTCTTTCTCTTTTTTTCTCTTTCTCTCACTCGTAAAATGTTATTAATCGTCACTGTACTCTCGACGCGTCCGACGATCATAGGTCGACGTCCGTTCGTTGTACAATTTTCTTCTGTACAACAGCAATAAAAAGAACGGAACAAACACTTCTCTCTCTCCCTTCTCACAGATATACTATAGCGAAAGTTTTAAAATAGATTTTCTCTCTCTCTCTCTCTCGCTCTTTAGCAGTGGCAAATGAAAGAACGGTTCGTTTTTTCTTTTCATTTTGCTAACTCACATATAAATATACAAACAAACATACGTATATACACACATAGATCTATTCCAAAACAAACATTTTTCAAGATACATATAATGGATAGATAAAAAAACACTTTTTATTACCAGTAACACACAGTATAACCACATAAAAAATCCTATTCTTTTTCTTTGTTTCGTTTCTTTTATTTATGTCATGTGTATATGTGCACGTATAGATGGATGTACGTGGTGGTGGTATATGTACGGATTATTGAGAGAGAAATTTGTTCTTTTTTTTTCTTCTCTTCATCAAATCAAACATCAGCTGAGATGCAAAACGTTTAACAATTCTGTAATAACAATGACATTGAGCTTAAAAATTTGTTCTCATAGTCTCTCGTAAAACAAAAATTTGGAACTTATTAAAAAGCTGTACGAAGTATCAAAAGTATGATGTAACGTAACGAGAGGTTCATGAGTCAACGTTTGTAATGTAAATTGAAACGCATCGCAAATACTACAGTTGCTCTGCAAAAACGATAGAAAATATCGTTAACATTTTAACTTTATAAAATAAAAAAGCATATTTATGAGCTGTTCGATTCAAACTTTAAGCAAAAAATTCAATTTTAGTGTCTTTTAACCTTCAGTTATATATAAGATTTAGTATTGTTTCTTTTTACTCCTACAAGTATGAAAAAAGATTGAAACTTTCAGAAAGACACCATTCGGTTAAACTTTCCATTGTTATCAGGAGCCTCGTGAAAGAATACTTTATCGTTCAGAAAACTAAAGTGGATAATTTTAATTAAATTTATACAAAGCGAAATATGGAGCTTTATGAGTCTTTTATAGGCTATATTCTGTACATTTACGCAAGAAAATGATGTGTTAGCTCAATAAGAGAGATGTACGATCTAATCTAACTAATCATGCATATGATGAATAATACCTCTACGTGTTTTATAATAAAATTATTCTACATTATCGTCAAGCCTGTCCTTGTTGATCTTTTGTCACAATCATAAAATAATACATATACAAATTATTATGTAATCACACTATAAACATTTGGCTCACTTAAAACATAGTCAAAATTGTTTCTTTTCTTTGACTGTGAACAAAACAGAAAAAGATAAAAAAATTTGTATCTCAAACACATACGTAATAGATAGACACGTTTTTAACTGTCTATCGCGCGGTATATTTTAGACTTGTCACATTTTGTACGTTATTAAATGGCAAAAAGCTAACACATGATCACGTGGCGTAACAACATAAAAAGAGCATCGGTATCTAAGAAGTCTATATCATTCAATTCTTTGAACACAAAAAGTAGGAGATTGATAAACTAAATTTCACTTAATTTCAAATTTTGAAGATTTCTTTGTAAAAAATAATGTAATAATCCGAAAAATATCCAAGAAAGGCATTTGAAATAATTTTTCGTAGGATATCGCAGACGAATGTACAAACTGAAAAAAGTTTGTTTTCAGGTTTGATAAAAATTGAAGTTAAACAGTTTTTCGTTACATAATAGAAATGGATCTTCAAACAGGAGAAAAAAATTTGCATGGTCAGAAGTGGTCCGAAAAATTGATGGTGTGGATTGGTCCTGTTCCCAAACTTTTTATCAAAAATGGTCCGAAGAGGTCCTTAGCCCAAAAAGTTATGGTCCAAAAATTGGGACCAGATCAGACCATACAGAGCGCTGAGACCTAACTATTCAGTAACGAAGCCGAATAACTCACTTATAAATTTACCCCTTCTCTTATTTTTATAACATAATATGTGAATCATATACTCAAAAAGTGAATCGAGTCATATACAAAAGTGTTTTCTATGACATAATGAAGGTTATTGCTCAAATAAATAAATATTCCACGCCTATACGAAAATGTTGATGAAGACATAATTGTAACACAAGAGCGAGGAAAAACGTGTCACAGCACTCGAGATACTCAAGAAAAATAGAACATATTGTACATAATCAATCAATGATGCAGAGTTTTAATTCTTTCTTTTTCAACAAATGTTTGTCCAACATATAGAAAAAGGTGCTCAATAGTAGTACGTTCTTCTCTTTTCGAGTAACTGACATCCTTCTCCTTGTCTACATAAATGATAAAGTAAATAAAACAAGGAGAAAAACTAATATTTATGTGAATTATAATCAAAAATAGAAAGAAAAACCTACCATGCACTTCTTTCACTTCATTATCGACTTGTACACGAAATATTTGTCCAGGTTTAACAAGTATTCGTGCTATAGAAGAACGTGATGTTGTTGGAGGTAATTCTGATGAAGTTGTTTCGGTTATTGATGGAGTGGATATTTCAGAAGCTAAAACGTCATTTGTTGTTGTTATTTTATCATCAACAATTGGTTTTATTTCGTCTGCTGTTGTGCATGTTTCATCTGACATCGATTCTTCACAATTCTGAACAACCAAATTCGTTGTTTGAGCGATCGTTTCGTCTGCGGTAGAAATATCATCATTCACATTCACTTTTACTTCGTCGTCTTCAAATGATGGCGGTTGTGGTTGTAATGGAGATTCTTGTTGTTGTTCTGATACGGAATTCTCTTGCTGTAGTTGTTTGTCATCATCGTGTTGTTTGTCGTCATCATGTTCTTCTCCGTCTACATATTCATCTTGTTCTTCATTATGATTTGATAATTGAATTGAATCGTAATGATTATGATGATTATGAGATCGATGTTGGTCAAAGTTCATTGATTCAATCGTAGCCATTCTGTGTAAAAATGACGATAAAAAGTTAATTCATAACAATCATCGAAACAACAGATTAACATATACGACTTGAAGAATAAATTTCAATAATAACACAACTTATATCTGGATCAACAGAAGAGAGAAGGGAAACCATTGACCGGCAATGATAAACATCTAAAACATGAAAATAAAAGTAAATAGATAAGCAACAATATTAAGTGATTAAAACACGATATGAATAGAGTATTTCGCTGTTTATTTATAAACAAGAATGTTTCAGAAAAGTCAGGAAACTAAATTATAGAAAAACTGATCGATACACTTAAACACGCCTTTTCTTTTTAGTTTTCTATTGTATAAGTACAATATTATTTAGTATTTATTCGTTTGTTTTCTTTATAGTTGATCGATCGCTCTTGATAGAGAAAAAAAATAATCGTAATAATAATAATAAGTTGTACGTCCGAAGGAAATAACACTTTTTTTGTTCATTCTACCTTTCTATGTGTGTACCATGGCTGGAGCAAAAGCCTAAATAGTATTATGTGTATATATTTTTGTATAAGAATGATAAAAATGAAAAAGAAGTAGAAAAAAAAAAGAATACTAAATAAGAAAACTTAACTTTAACTTAGCCTAGTTATACCTCTTTGCATTTCTAAAACTATGCTACATCGAAATATAAAACTTATGTCTTCTTCTTCTTCTTCTTCTTCTTTTCATATATATTAATCAAAAAAAAAAAATAGACAATATGTAAAGAAAAAGTTTTTTCTTCTTTTTTTTATTTTGTTACAAACGATATATAGAGTGACAATAAACAACATGGAAAAAGTTGCGTCTCTTCAAGTCGCTCTTTAACAATTAGACGATGAAAAATTCTTTCATGTCTTGTGTGTATATGTGTGTGCGCACACTAGATCTTTATGTACGTGACTAGTACGTGATACGACGCTTGCTACTTTTGCCAGAAACGAGTCTAGAAATAGTGCATTAAAAAAGAAGAATAAAAAAAAAAAAAAGAAGAAGAACAAAAACAAGAATGAGCAAAACGATGAAAAAAAGAGAAAAAAGAAAGTAGAATTTTTTAACATCTGTTGTTCTTTTTGTGTTAAAAAATAAAAAAAAATTTACTTGGTTTTTATATTAAAATATTCAATTGTAATAATAAACAAAAAAACAGAATTTCGATGTTACACATAGAAAATTTGACTAATACGTGTTTAAAAAAAAACAAAAAATACATTAAAATAGTGAAAAATGAGAATGATAAATGTTTTAGCCAAATTTCGATTTTCTTCTTTTTTATATCTTATAATTGACGTTTCTTATCGTTATTAAACTATCAATAACAACAGAAGAAAAAAAAATGAGAGCATGTTACTACGTCTATGTCATTATTTGAGTTATATAACTCTTTCTTTCGACTATATACATACACATATGTACACCTGTATTAAACAAATCGGTTTAATAGATGAAGGATATCAGTCCATATAGAGAGATTACTCTAAAAAAGTAACACATTTTCATTTAAACGTCACTTAGTAACCGGATATAGAATTGAGAAACGATCCAGTAGTGGACAAGTCACAGTTCGAACTGATAAGCTTTTTTTTAATCGGACAGAGACTAATTTTTCAGAACAGTCGTCCTTTAACCGGGTTTTAGTATAAAGAAAAATCTTTGATATAGACATTTAAAGAAACAGTATCATTTGGGTAAAAAGATACAAGACAAAACATGTTATCATAGCAGCGAATGAGAAAAAATTTAGGTTTTGAGCGCAATGGGACTGAACTGAAAAACAGAGGACTTTTATCCATCTCTAAACCGATCTATGTATTTTTTCATATGAACGCAGTAATTCTTATATTTTTTAGATTATGCAAATATAGAATCTGCCAACTCATTGAAATTTTATTTTCTTGATACTTAATAAAAACAAATTTGTCTCATTTGCCAACTCATCTTTTTCATTCAAAAATCAATTTTATTTCTAAAATTTTTTATTTATACCATGCGATATCTTTTTCTAAAATAATATATCTATCGACTCGTCAATCTCTCAATAAAACAGTTTAGAAATTTATTTAAAATTTTCTAAATACCAGCATATTAAATATCATCTTACTGTCAAATATAAATATATCTCATACAGAATAGATATTTTCTAATTAGTTAAATATATTTTTTCATACACATTATACAATAATAGTAGACACATGTATAAATACTAATAGAATTTTTATCTTAAAATGATAGTTTATCAAAAATCAATTAACAAAAAAGCAGTTAGTCACTTACTCTTAATTTTACACCTGAAAAGAAACAAACAATATTTTTAGCATGTAACATAACGCACTAAAAACTAATTGTTTCTGTGTTCGTTCAATTGGATAATTTTCTTTTTCTTTTTACTACTACTGATTTATTGCTTGATCACTTAATTTAATATATAAAAACGAGGAGTTAATTCGTTAACACAAAGAGAACAAAGAAAAAGGAAAACATTTTAGAATGATAGTGTGTGTGTGTGTGTGTGTGTGTGTATGAAGGAAGAAGGGGCGTGCTATTATTCAAAATACGACTGTTCAATTGGATAACAGTAATATTCTTTGTATTATTATAAAAATAGAATAATCCATAAAAGTTTTATTATCGTTCATAAATGAGAAAAACACATGATAATAAATCGTATAATTCTGATAAAAAAATATGTAGCAGAAATAATAAGATCTGTATTTGTGAAAAAAATTCACAGATATTATTACGAATAAGAACAATATAATAAATCCATTTTTATATATTGCAAGAAATATCATCTGTTATCAAATTAAAATAAATATCTTTATGTCAATATTATTAGTGAAATTTTTGTCTTAAAAACAACGACAATAACAAAAATCAACGATACATAAAAGAAATAATATGTTATAATTACATGGAGAACAAATATACATCCTCATCCATGAGCTTTTATGGGTTCGATTTATTTATTTTGAACAGTTAAAATATTTTCGGACATGTAAAAGAAAAAAATGATTTTCAATTGTTTTGATCAGAATAGTTAAAATTAAATGAAAATAAGTTTAATGTATAAGAAAAAAAAAATCAATTAAACTCTATTGAGAATACTTTCTTTTTTATCTATTACTTGATCTTTGCCAAAAATAATGTGAAAAAACTTCTAAATTTCAACATATTGTTAGAATAAAAAAAAAAAAAAAATAGAATGTAGCCAAGAATAAAATCGTTTGACTAATCTACATTACAGATATATTTCATATGAAACGTGATAAATAGAAAAGCTTAGGGAAAATATAAATAATTATTTTGATTTAGACAAAGTTATATTTGTTTTCTCCTCTAGCATAGACAAAAAAGTAATAGTAATAATCAAATAGTAATAATAATCATTATTCTTCTCACCTTCAACATCACCGATCATTGAGTTCGCATCTTATTGCGTGTGTAAAAAAAGAAGAAAAAATAAAAAAAATTCAGTACGAAGACTAGTGTATCACAGCAGTAACCAATAATATAGCAAAAAAAACAAAACAAAAAATAAGTCTAATGCATTTTTTTCTCTTTTTATTCTTTTTTGTAATATGTAGCAGGTGATTTCGGGGTTTTATTTTTTTCTTCACTGGTATACTTAACTTCTATTTTGACGTATACAATATTGGAACACGTGAATTTACAATAAAAAATGTTTTTATTTTAAATTTATTTCAAGAAAATTGATAAATGGATAGATGTTAGTATACAGTACTGAACAATATTATAGAAACGAATTATTATTGATTTTTTTGCTTGAAAATAATAACTACAATAAATTCAAAAAAAAAATGATTTGAATAGTGAAAAGAATTTCCAATTGGATGGAATTTATATAAAAAAGGTTTTCAGAAAAATCCTTGAGTCTACAAAACAAAGTATCTAAATCCGATCTTGAATTTTCTTGTAAACAACTCAGTCATGTAGAACGACGCATTGTGAACAAAATAAGACGTTGTCGGGCTCTACACAATAAATTTTCATAAAATTACGTTCATTCTACGGAAGGTCTCTAATGGTGAAAAATAAGAAAATCAACAAGAAACAACAAAAAATCATCACTAGAGGCCTTCCGTAGAATGATCGTAGTTTTATGAAAATTCATCCTATAGAATCCGATGACGTCTTATTGTGTTCACAATTCATCGTTCTACATGAATAAGTTGTCTACAAGTAAATTTAAGATTGGATTTAGATACTTTGTTTTGTAGATTTAAGAGTTTTCCTAAAAACTAACTTCAAAATCTTTTTATACAAATTTCATCGGATTCAAAACTCTTTTGGCTATTCAAATCATTTTTGTTTTGATTTATTATAGTTATTATTTTCAAGCGAAAAAATCAATAATAATTCGTTTCTATAATATTGTCCAATGATGTCTAGTGTAGTTAAAAAATGCTAACTATACACGCACATCACATTGTATCTAATAACAGTCTTTCTCGCTACTCGGATCATTAAGAAAAAAGAATTCTATTTAGAAGAAATTAAGTTTCCTTAAAACAAAAAAACAAAAAAAACATTTTTTCCTATCATCGCATCTAGAGAAAGAGAGAGAGAGAAAAAAAACCATAATAGATTAGATTAGAATATCCAATTACAAGCTCTTATGGGAGGATGAAGACGAAAAAAACAACTTTTTTTTTGCGTAGGAAAAATTTTAAAAACTCCATTATCAATTAGGTAAAACTCTCACTCATAGTGGTTAATCTTCTCTAATTTAACAAGATTAACTATTAAACTATAACGGATGAAAAACTTACAATTCTCTGCACTCAGTGATGATACATCCGACTCTTTGTCGTCTAACGTAACAATTTAGCAAGAACAACATTATCAATATCAATAGTTATTGTGTGTTTATCTTGTCGTGGTAGGAATATAAATAAGGTGAAGAGAAAATAATACCATCATTTATTCAAACAAGATATACAAATGAT